TAATTATAATTTGATTTAGCGTCATAGCTTATCTAAACTGCTTGAAATTGGTCTCTCTCTCTTTAAGAACCTCYTAAAGTTTCTCACACTCCCACTTCAGCACAATTTCAAACAATGCTTCAGGGGAGGGCTGCTCTGTGAGGCAGGAGCTTGGCTGCAGACTGAGCTCTAGGGAGGAGCTTTGTACAAATAGGTGGTACTTTGTACCAGACAGTGTTTAGGTAGCTCCACATGGCTACCACAGGAGGTTCAAGGATTTCTCAAACATGAATGAATGAGTCAAAGGAACACTTTGGATATGTTTTTAATGAGAGAATAGCAATAAACCACGAAATAAAGATAAAAAAAATGTACCCCCTCAATAATAATAATAATAATAATAAAAAGAATTCAGGAAACAAGCTGCTAAAAACATTGAGTTGTAGTACTTAAGGTTATGAGAGATTTCATTTAATACTGTATCTTCTGATGTGTAATAAATATTACACTTAACCTTAATAGCATTAGCATTATCTCTTGCCTTACAGCAGCAAACAATAAAAAATCTTGTTAACTCCAACATTAGATGTGTGACCGGTCTTACCACACATTCCACAGAGCAGACCACTGTAGGTGCTTGGTATGGTGACATCTGCATAGTGGTTCCCATCAAACCGGACCCTCAGACCAAAGGATGTCTCCAKAACCACAAACTTTCCACTCAGGTAGATGTTAACCCCACTAATAGAGGTGACAGGTGGAATGACCACTGTTCCGTTGACCTGATAAAGAAAATCAGACTGAATGCCATGTTGTGTCTGCAGAGAAACCGACTCAGAATTCACTCATTTTATCCTGTTTGGACTTTTTTTGGTGTTTGTTTTGCTCATTTTAGTCTACCTTGTTTTAATTTTACCAACTTTGAACAGTTTATTCAGCAAAATTCAGAGAAATCAATCTACTCTCAAAGTTTACACTGCATCCATGCAGTAAATGCAGGTAACACACCTGAACTGTGCGTCCTTTGCCGAAGATGACAGTCACATCGTTCACGGTAATTACAACGGCTCTGACGTAAGAAACCTTCTTGTTACTCCCTCTGTGCTCGTTYTGGGTGTCCACGGTGAAGTATGGCAAGTCGGAGGAGGTGTTACAAGGTTTGGTCAAAGTGTAGGAACAAGCTCCCATGTAGTGGTGGGTGTGTTTATCAAAGGTAGTGTAGTGAGGATCACCRGAAACGGAGCAGATCCCATTTCCTGAAAAACACAAGCAGAGATGTAAACGTGAGTGTGTTAAAACCCAGTTAAAACTCTCATTCCTTTATAATAAATAGGTTAAAAAATTCAGTTTTTATTTTGTTTTATGTTAAATCAAAAGGAAAAAAATTGTATAGGTCCTCTGACGGGTTCTTCTTTAATGAAACGTTTCGTCTCTCTTCCAAGACTCTCAGACTGAAGAAGTCTCTTGGAAGAGAGATGAAACGTTTCATTAAAGAAGAACCCGTCCAGAAGACCTATACATTTTTTTTCCTTTTGATTTTTTACCTGGATTACTGAGATGCATCAGGACTTTATGTTAAATAGTTAGTAACCCTCAGTCTAACCAGCAGGAGGCCCTGCTGCGTTACTGGAGGTCTTTCAGAACAAGTTCATATATTTTCATCTGTAGCACACTTTAGAGTGCCTGTGACATGTGTATCTTCAATTACAAAAAGTTAAAGAAAACATTTTTTTATTTAAGAAACTTGGCATATGACCATTATTTTACCCTTGTGTCACAAAACTGGCATATTTTTCTTTGAACTTGGCTCAGCCAAAGTGAAACAGGAAGTGACATCAAACAAAAAACAAAAAAAAAATCTCTGGTCTTTGTTTTTTGAAACAATATTATTTGAACTCTGACTCTTCTTCTCTCTGATATGACTCAAAATAATCTAAAGAAACATCAGATTCTTCTCTACAATCTGCGTTAGTAGCCGTAGCATCGCTCTGTTTACATTCAGACATTCCCCTTTGACATCACTTCCTGTTACTTCACAGGCAAATATCTCAACAACTGTTTATCTCAGGGGCGTGAAAGTTCTTTTGCAATGTGYTRTCAATGTTATCTTTTTAAAAATGCATTCATATTTATTATAAAAATATGACRTCAYRGGCACTTTWAAGTAAAATCTCAGTATTCTTTGAAGGGATGCAAAYTGTCCACCATATTTTATGCCAGCATTTTAAACTAAGATCCTATTATTACRATAACATAAAAGGATCTTAGTCTCAAACTAACATTTTTATGTTGATCTTTTTATGACCRATTTGTAGCAGTTATAGGCAAAACCTTGTAAATAAGATTAGGTGTGATCTCATGCAGTGTAGGATGTCACACTCAGTGTATTTGTTGGAAATGCTCTTCAGGTACTACATACTACGACATATTTTAGCTAAATATCTGTATCATTTACTGAATTATAACCATGTCTAGGTTGTTAAATATTGATTTGCTGTGGCAGCCATATTTAGTTGGATTGACTTCAAWAGGCACTCAGTTGTAGATCAAAGGATAATTTCCTGAATGATTTATTAAAACTGGTTCAGTGGTTTGACTTACAGCTACAGACAGACATAGTTGACCTCAAATAGTCAATGCCAATAAATAAATAAAAACMAAACTCTAATACAGAATTGTACTGCTCAGAGTATGTTTTATAAATACTTCTCAGGTACTTCCACAACAATTTTAGCACAAAATCTTTGACACTGACTGAGATACAGCCATTTTGTAGTTTGATAGGTCAGTTGGCTTTAACAATCATCTGCAATCCGGTTGTTTTTCAAAGTTAAACAATTGTAGATGTATATCTAATGTTACTTTCTGCAAACTAAATGGTACCCCATTGTTCACGAGATATTTTGCTAACAGACAAACAGACTGGGGCTAAGCATTATTGTCCTCTTGCCTTTCGGCAGTGGGCAGTAATCAGACTCAGGAGCAGATTGTCCTCTGTGGGTTATTGGTGGAACAGTTCACAGGTTTCATTGTCAAACTGTTTTACTGGAGTAAAATGATGAACCTTAAAAGACAGGAAGTGTATTTAATGCAGTTGGAGTATCTGAGAGTTGAGTAACGTACTTATGGGGCGGCAGTCGTACTCTCCATCATGTAGCTGGCAGCTCTCAGTTGCTGGTTTACAGCTGCTGTTCTGACAGTGGATCAGACCGCCGCTGTGACACTCACACTTCTTCTCACAACCCTCCAGGTACCAGTCATCCCCCACCTGAACATCACACACATTAAACACTTCAGTGCCATTTGATGGAGGTAAATGTGGGTTTCCTCTTTCAGATCAGGGGTTGTTTCTAAGCTCTGACTGACAAAATCAAGGCCCTTTGAGAACAGAGCATGAACAGGAGGTTGGTTTAGTTTGCACTCACAGGATGGTAACTGCCAGCRGTGTCCACACAGCCACAGTCTTTCAGGGACACACATTTGTCATTACTGAGAATGAAGCCTGGGTTACACTGACACCCCTCGACGCAGACATCCTTGCAGCCTGGTGGTCCGACCACACCCAGACACGTTTCAGGACACGAGCTCACACATAGAGAGTAGGAGCTGTTTGGAGGGCAGGCTAGGGCTACATCAAGAAACAAACACAGGTCAAGGGTCAGCTGCGACAAACGGATGAAGAGCAGCGGGGTGAAAACAAAGACAGGTGAAGTCAGACTAACAGCAACTGCAAAATRGAAGCTAAAAGGAGATGATGGGTAACTAAAGGTTAAATAAATAAAACGTTAGCTAAATGTTCAAGAGCATCAACTTATGGCTTCAAGGATGAGCAATAATAAAAGGTTATGCACTTTATTTAATCTGCCAAAACCCAAAGTGTTTCTGAAACCCAGAAGACAACAACAGTCTTTGAGGACGTACGGCAGAAGTCTGGAGTCCTCCACGGGTGGACCTTGGCTCCAGCGTGCTGACAAGCATCAGTGTAGGCTTGGAGCTGGTCACAGAGAACATGCTGCTGCCCRTTGAACTGGCACATGTCATAAACACAACTGTCCATGAATGGAGTGGGATCTACCACACTGATGCAATCCCTGGAGAAACAAAGCAAATCAGATTTACTCTCTTTTTTTAGTCGTTTCAACATAGGCTTGTGTTATCAGAGGCATGTGTTGGCTTTAATCAAGCATTTAACTTTGTGAAATATTGATGAAATAGACATCATCACCAAAACAACAGCATTACTAAAATAAAACGTTATGCTAGATTTCCAAGCAGATATCCAAATCAGCAGTTAAATGGCTTTATCAAAAGGAAATAAAAGTTGGGTATTTCCTAACCAATGTCTAGATTTAAATCTGATAGAAATTCTCTGTAGTGACCTGAAGAGAGCTGAGGGCAAGMGATGACCTCACTGTCTGGCAGATCCAGACCTTTGGAAGGTGTGAACAAATTCAAGGTGTTGCTGCTAATAGACTCTTTCTGAGGTCTAAAGACTGAAAAACAAACAGGTGTTTCAACAACTGTATTAATTTAAGGGTGTGCACAACTATGGGACAGGTTTGCTGGAGAAGATTCTCCACCATCCAGGTTATGAACAGTCACAAAATAAGTAAAAAAAAAAAAAAAAAAACAGCTGGACTTCTGTTCTGAAGCTGAAGATGGTTCTCTTTCCATCTGGGAGGGTTAAACCAATAAAATGTCCCACCAAGGATTTTTTGTGTGTAGTTAAGTTTAAGGTAAGGGGTTAGGGTTAGCCTATAGAAATGACTGATAAATTAATTTAAATCAGTGCAAAGTCCCCATGAGTATAGAAGAACAAACGCGTGTGTGTGTGTGTATATGTGTGTGTGTGTGTGTGTGTGTGTGTGTGTGTGTGTGTTTCACAGTCCATGTTCATTTCTCAGAAAGGAAGGTGTAAAGTGAGAGAAGAACAATAATAAATAGGTTACATCATCTCTGTAAAGGAACATATTATCAGTGTAATAAAGCTTTTGAAGATGTAATCATTCAGTTTTTTTTTATCTGTGCACGTGGACACATTGACATCTTTGATAGAAAATGAGTAAACTAAAAATGTAACATATTTATAATCCAATCCAATTAGTCCAACTCTCKGACTAATGGGCATTCTAAGTTCACTTTATCTAAAACTAGTTCAAGAGCTACCTGCTAAAAGTTATGGAAACAGGTTAATAATTGAAAGACTACTGTAAAAACTAAACATGATTATCAGCTTTGTGTTTTGGTGCTCTTTTCTTGTTTCTATTTTAACTTTGGTTCATGGTGGACAGACTTTAATAAAGTTAGATCTTTTGTAAAGTTAGTTTAGTTTTGGAGAACAAACACTACTTCTATTTTTAAAATAGTTTGCATTTTTCTTTTATGGTAAAAATTATAGACAGGAGTAGTTATAGATGGTTTTAGGTAGTTATATAGTGGTTATACACGCATTATGGATGTTATAGACCACATATTCAATTCAATTCAGTTTATTTATAAAGCTCCAAGTCACAACATACGTTGTCTCAGGGCACTGTACATAAAAAGAATAATCTAAAGAAGAAACCAGCAGATTGTGTTGAATCACTTCATCACAGTCTCCCATCCTGAGCAAACGGTGGAGAGGAAAAACTCCCTGCTAATCAGGAAGAAACCTCCAGCAGAACCAGGCTCAGGACCCATACACATATAAACAACTCTAGATGGTTAAAGGTAGTTAAAACCTGTTGCAAACAGTTTTATATGGTAATTGGCAGCACAATGGCTCAGTGGTTAGCACTGATGCTTCACAGCAAGAAGGTCCTGCTTCAGACCTGGGGTCTTTCTGTATGAAGTTTGCATGTTCTCCTCGTGTGGGTTTTCTACTCTGCTTTCCCCCACAGCACAAAGATATGTACAATAGGTTGCCTTCAGCCCCAGGCCAGCCTTGAAAATAGATCTGCGATCTCAAGAGATTTGCCTGCAATTGGTAAATAAATAAAGTAAATAGACAATTATGTTTAGTTTTATATGGTTTTAAATGGTTATGGTTATAACCCTAACAGCTATAATCCAATTTAGAACCTGTTATATTTTTTATTGACAGTTATAGACCAGCATAAATGATTATATGTGGTTATAAAAAGTTACCGATCAATTAGAATAGGGTTACACAGTATAAAACACTTAAAGTGCACATCGGTCCAGTGACATTGTGATTTACCACAGCAACAGTGGCCATTGGCTAAAAAAGCAAACATATGTCCTTAAGGTTTAAGTAAAAATTGGCTAAATAACCCTAAGTAAGGGTTGAGTATGTGATAAAATGTTTTAACAAAGTAAAAAATGATAAGTATATAATATAATTTAATACAAATTATTAAATAGTAAAAGCTGGTATTGCTTCTGGTTGTAAAATAATATTGAATATTTTACTTTTTTCGACATTTTTCTGAAACTAATAGCGTTTACATGCACAATTTACAAAAAAAGTTTGTTGAAACTTTATTAACTAGTTGAAGTCATAATCATCGGAAGTGTATTGAGTGACTCTGAGTCTAGTTTCGTTCAATTTATGCTCCTTATATAACAT